TAATAAATATAGATTATTTGAATTGTTTACATTTACCAGCAGCTCAATAACATATTCTCTCATAATCAAGGTTATAAACCCTATGCCTTTTTTGACTAATTAAACTTTTAATAATTCCTTTTATTATAATTATGATAACTCTGTATCTTGAGGATGTCAAAGTTACATAAGATTTCAGCTTTTAAATGCAGAGTAAAACAGTTGCCTGGATTTGTCACTCAGCAAACATCAGCTGAAGATTTATGATTGCCAGTGCCAGGATTATGGAACACACAGCATGGAGGAAGATAACTAGATGAACAAATAATTATAACAAATAAGAATACTTGTGTTCTAAAGATATATGAAAAAGAGATTTTTAGGAAGCATAGAAAAGGAAATACTTCTTTTGATGGTGGTAGGTGAGTAGGACTAATATTGGGAGAGAGTTCACAATTTGTCTTGTATGGATCCTCAATAAAGGATTTTAAGTTCCAAATTAACAGTTGAAACTGTCACAGGAACAGCAATAATAATATCACCTCATGTATTTATGACTATTTCTGTGTCCAGACAGTATACTGTTATTTTTATGTAGATACTTATTAACAACAAAATATTAAAAAGGTTAAAATAGTTTTATATTGTCTGTAAGTGCTAAATGACCTAATATTTCTCAGACAATTTGCAGCTGTCTGATTAAAAACACAGATAATACAAAGACAGCAATCATGTCCCACAGGCAAAGCCAGTATGCTGACAGAGAACAAAATCACACATGTAGGAAGAACATATTTACCAAGAAGTTATCAGGGTAAGAAATAAATTTGTCTAACAGGTTTTGTTACCTGATGTAGAGGGGAAAATATCAATTCATGAATCACAAAGTTCACTTAAAAAGCTTACTTTTTCAAGAGAATTCCATAATTCCTAAAAGCTAACATCTGAAAGAAAAATTTCCCAAAGATGAGCATCAAGAAAACACTGCAAGGCCGTGGAACACCATCCTTGTCAACTTTGTGACATGCACATAGTGAGCAAAGCAGAGTATTGCTTATGGGCCCCCTCAACGTAGGTCAGAGGGACCCCACCAGCACAATTCAGTAAAATCAATTATTTCCCGATATTAGCACAATGTGTTCCATGGAAACTTCTCTCAGATTAACTAGTTTACTCCAGAAAGGGATTTTAGATTATGCTTAACCTGAATATGCAAGATTTCATATCCTTCAGGAAAATGATTTCTCACTTGAGCCTTTGATGTATATTGAGTAATTATGAATTCAATAATGTGTGTTCTGAAAAATAGAGTATAGCTGCACTATGTTACCATTTCTGTGCAGAGCTCTTTGTTTGAATATATATTGTTTCTATTTGTAAAAAATTTTTGAGGGAAAAAGTGAGAGCAAAGAGAGATTTGGGGAAAGGGAGAAGAAAGGAAGGAAAAAAGGAAAGAGAAACACATTGTTACTGGACTTCTAATATTTCCTGTGTTGTACAAAATTTACTCATGTTGTTGGGTAGAAGGGTCAAGAAAGGGAGTGGATAGTTATTGAGTGGCTTCTAATAGTTCTTTATAAAATATTTATTGGGTATCTGTTTATAAAGTGTCAGGTGTGGGGAAATTAACAGAAAAAAATGTTTACAGGTTGTTACGTCTGAGCACCCAAATATGTGAATGCTTGACTGAAGTCACCTATTTTTAAACATTAAATGAAAAGTTGACTTGACCCTAAATTAGAAGTTGCTGATAGAAGCAGTCTACTGAAGAGGAATTAACAGAAACAGCTGCATTTAGTGGAAATTTAGTTTTTGCAGTTATTGTTGATGGCAGCAGAACCTAAACAGAACATAAAACAGGAGAATTTCAAACCAAAGACAGTAGTATTTCCAATGATGGCTATGATTGATAGGTAAGAGGACAGGACTTCACGGCTTACTTACTAGATTTACTCTTGCTATATTATTTGGACAAAGGAAAGAAACAAAGAGCCAACTTAAGAGGAGAATGAGCCCTTACGGTTTTGGCATTATTAGTTATCAAGACAGACTAAAGGCACCAAGCCAATGAACCAAATTTGCTAGTTGTTGACTACTATTTTATTCAGGTGGAAAAGTACCTGCATGTCATGAGGATCTTGAAGAAGTCCATGTATTGCTATGTTAAGCTAAAAACTGTTGCTAGGTTAAACTTAAGCTATTGCTATTAAACTAAATGCATGGCTAAATCAAAATCATCTTATATTAGCTTCTACTAAAGATATGTAGCAGATAAAATGAAATATTTTTTAAATATGAGAAAAAGATTTTCTACTAAGGGAATTCTTTTTTTTTTTCCTGTACATTGGGAAACGTTTGCTGTCAGCAGAGGAGTCTTGAACAGAAACTAAAAACTGAGCAGGTTTCCCAGGACTATAAGAAAGGTTATCAGAAAGCTCCATATGAATCAGATGGAATGATTAAATTAATTGGGGAGAAAACAACTTAGACAATGATTTTTTTTAAGTGTGCCTAATGACCTTACATTTATACTAAACTCTCTTGTTTCTTATTATACAAATTGCATTGCTCTCCATAGCTCTCTGTTAAGGAAAGTACTGAAGGATTTAAACAGAGTTCTGTGGAACAGTGACTTATACCTTAAATTACTAGAGATATCCATGTAATAGTAACTTGGATTCAGTGAGAGACAAGTCAGTTATTATCATAGATTTCTATTAGAAAAGTAGGTCTGGGAGGCAAGGTTAGTAAGCCAGAAGATACTGGTGGATTGCCATGTTGCTTGTTTCTAAATCCAGTGGATTTTCCTATGTTATGCTGTCATATGGTGTATAATTCGTTAACATGTAGAGACTGAATGAAAAGTCTCTTCCTGAAAGTAAAAGCATTTCTTTTTTTAAACCAAAAACATTTTTCAACATTTTTTATTTTGTTGGAGCAAGTACACTTACCATGAGATCCACTCTCTTAACAGATGTTTAAGTGTATGATACAGTATCGTTCACTATAGGCACAAGGTTATACAGCAGATCTTAAGATCTTAATCATCCTGTATGATTGAAACTTTATAACCATTGATTAGGAGCTCCCTACTTCCCTTAGCAACCACCATCCCACTATCTGCTTCTAGGAATTTGACTATTGTGATGCTTCATATAGGTCAGATCATAGAGTATTTGTTCTTCAGTGACTGGCTATTTCACTTACTATGTCCTCAGCATTCATCCATGTTGTTATGTATTGCTGATTTCCTTCCTTTTTAAGGCTAAATAATATTCCAAATGAAAGCTTTCTAAATCAAAGTTTAAACTATATAGCAATTAGCAGAAAAAAATGTATTCAGTGTAAACTCCATTGACCTCTTTGATAAGGCATTCTAATTATTCATAGTAACACTTGAATCACAGATTTTCCAGCCCTGTTGGGCCTAGAGATTCAGTTCATCTCTATCCATGGAATCAGATGTCTTGCAAACTAGCAAAGCAACATGTGCCATATCTATTTCAATCAGAGATGCCCTAAGAATTTCAGATGGAAAAGAAAAACACTACCATAGTCAATGTAAATGCTGACACACCAAGATATATATCTCCAATGTGCAAAAAGATGTGACTCAGAATCAGTTAAATATATTGTTTTCGCATTTCAGTCATTTTCTGTTTTTTTCTATTTCCTAGGGACTGATCTTTTAAATAAGAAGGGACAGATGCTTCCCAATATTGGAGGAGTTTTGTTTAACACCTAAGGCAGTAGAGGAGAAAGCTCTGGGGTTGACATCCCTGGAAATAGCAAACGGAGGTGGACCATATGCAGGGTGAGACAGGAGATTATTGACATAGGCTATGTTCAAGGATTGAATAGAAGCAGGATTTTGGACAGTGAGAGCAAAACATATTGTCTGTGACAGATAAAAGTATTCAGTTGATGAGAATGAGAGTAAAACTGTCAAAGTGATGTCAAAAAAGGGGGGAAGCTTTATTTTTAATTAAGAATCTAGCTGAGTTTGAAGTAGAGACAAAAGTTTTTCATTTGTCTCCATTGTCAGACCTCTATGAATGTGAGGATATATTTATTATTTTTAAAATTAATGAGTTCCAGATTGTACAGGATGTCATAATGGAAACAGGATTACACAAGATAATAAGGAATTTTTTTCTCTAAATGAGTTTTACCTAGAGTCCCTGTGTTGTACTTTTGATCTTAACTGTGTTTCATTTACCACATTGAAGGGGGTTACATAAAGGGTAAAATAATAGAAACTTAACCAGGAAACAGGTCTTCTTATTGCTGCATTGTATTATATAATTTTGCCATATTCTTTAGCCTAATTCTTGAAAATAATAAACGATATGTCATTTTAAAATAAAGACAACTGAAACCACATTGCATTATAATTGTGCATCTTTCTTCTGAGCCATCCCAAACATTTCACACCAATTGATCTTCAGAACAGATGTGTGGATTATTTAGGGGTTTTTGGTGGGGAGTATAAACTTCCTGAACTCTATCTTCTGTAAAACAGTAGGTAAATATTATTGGTTGGTGAATTTAATTTTACGGATGAAAAACAAACATGGAGAGGCAAAATGGTTTCTCAGAAACAGATTCTTGCTTCCAAAAGCCCAGATGAGTAGCTTTTCTGTTAGAAAATAGTACAATATGTACTGGGCCCATTAGTCAGAACATAGAAGTTTATAGTGACAATTTCATGGAGAGTATTATACTGGCATATAAAGATGTATACATATACTACACACATGGCTGATTTTGTTAATATAATGCTGTTTTTTAGTAGACAAACCTCTGTGTATGCTTTATATAACCCATACCAAAATGATTTGTCTACTTAGGCCCTTGCATTCTGAAACCTTACATCCTTGACATTGCTGCCAACCTCAATCAACTTGGAAAAGATTTCTAACTTGGCAACAAATTGAACTCCTGAATTACCAAATTAATACTTTGGAAAGCTGAATTTACTTCTCTAACGTTTCTCGTTTCATTTCCTTGTCATCCTCCAGATAATCATCATGGCCACAGCCTTGAAGAAAGAATCATCTATGGAGTGGAAAATAGTAGCACGTTCCTGGAATGCAGCCCAAAATCACAGCGAGCTCTAGTCTATTGGCAATTCCAGAGGCGAAATGAAGAGCGAAAAGAAGAGGTATAGGAATGAAATTGACTAGAATATTTCCATCTAATAACATATGCTGTTAAGTGACCCCAGCTTGGTTGACTTAAGGGGGGACCAAAGTACTGTGAATCTTAATCCTTTTCTTAGCCCATCAATAGCCCATTCCTTAAATAAACACACACTGAATGCTGACCATAAGATGGACTTCGTGCTAGGAGTTGGAGAAAGGATGGTGAATTGGTAAGAGTTTTGTCCTAGAAGCTTTTTGGGAATATATTTTAGTCTTTCTTTTTCTTCCCATAGTTACCTACAGAGCAATTATATTATTTATATTTGTGTGAAAAAAAAATAAAATCCTGTACTAATTTTAACTTTTGTTTAATTAATTCTGCTATACAAACATGTTTTCCTTTCTTCATTAACCTCCTCCTCAAGGGAGAGGAAGTTTAGGAATGAGAGTAGTAGATTTAGGATGAAGGGTCTGAGGTCCCACTAATTACTCTTATATGAACTATGCATGTAGCATCAGATAGGTCTTCATCCTTAATAGATCCACTTATTCCTCTAAAAAATTAAAGAATTGTATACAGAAAATCTCAATGACAACTCTGAGCCTTTAAAGCTATTGAAAAGAAATAAGGGTAATCAGACTATGTAGACAATTTGTAAATGCATTATATGCAGGCAGCTTTATGAACATAATATGAATAAAAAGGTAAAAACCCTCTTGTTTTCTTCTTTGACATTTGAAGCAGTCTTTAAATATCTATTCACATCATACAAATGTCAAGGTTGATTCTGTACATTACCAGGTTAGGGTTTCAGAGTTCTCTATTGTAAACTGTATTCAAAATATAAGTGAGGTTGGATATATTCAAGAGCGTATCTTCATATTTTTGTCACATTTGAGACTTAGGAAATTGAAAAATAATTATTGAACATATAACCGCATGTTTTTTTCTGCTTGCTCAACTGCTAATTATTTTAGTTGTATTTTTTCAAATCTCATCAAAAGTTCATGTTAATGCTGCCTTGTTTTCTACAGTCAGGGTTCTATATTTCTAATTCCAATATTTAATGTTAACTTTATCCTATATTTGTATACCTTCCATATCTTTGTCCTTTCCTCCCATTGCATTGAACACTTTAAATTGCTATTATGAGAAATTCTATTACAACAATAGAAAAACAATAGACAACCAGTATTTTGCAGTGCATCTTAGAAACAACTGACAGAGATTGATAATTCTTTTCCCTGCTGGGAAGATGCTATCATTTCTCTTAAGCTAGAAATGTTATTAACTGTTAAAATGTTCCTCAACACAGTCTAATTGTTACTGAGACATAGTTTCAAGACATATTTCTTTTAAACGTGTATATTTTTACTACTTTTTTTTCTTCTGCTAGATCAGAATAGATGATCACATCATCAGAACAGAACAAGGACTTCTACTGCGTAGCCTACAGCGAAAGGATTCCGGCAATTACCTCTGTCATGCCGTGGAACATGGATTCATGCAAACTCTTCTGAAAGTGACCCTGGAAGTCATTGACACAGAGCATTTGGAAGAACTTCTCCATAAAGATGAAGATGGAGATGGCCCCAAAACCAAAGAGATGTCCAACAGCATGACACCTAGCCAGAAGGTCTGGTACAGAGACTTCATGCAGCTCATCAACCACCCCAACCTGAACACAATGGATGAGTTCTGTGAACAGGTTTGGAAAAGGGACCGAAAACAGCGTCGGCAAAGGCCAGGGCATTCCCAGGGGAGCAGCAACAAATGGAAGCACTTACAGGAAAATAAGAAAGGTAGAAACAGGAGGACCCACGAATTCGAGAGGGCACCCAGGAGTGTCTGAGCTGCATTACCTCTAGAAACCTCAAACAAGTAGAAACTTGCCTAGACAATAACTGGAAAAATGCAATATACATAAACTTTTTTCATGGCATTATGTGGATGTTTACAATGGTGGGAAATGCAACTGAGGTCCGCCAACTATAAATTAAGTCCATGAGTAACTTTCCTAACAGGCTTTCTTCCTCGTACCAACACCTAATAGAGGTCAGGTGAACGCAGATGTTCACTTGAGCAGACTTAATGTTTCCTACGAGATTTCATTGTACAGGTTTCGCTTTCTTCTTTGCCTGAGAAATAAAAAAGTCACTTGCCATACTGCCATCTAAAGAAGAAAAACTGCATCAGCAAAGCCATTTTCTTGAACTAAAAGTTTAAAATAAACTGCATGGGTTTCCTAAGCTGATGAATATTCCAAAATGTGGTTGGATTCAAGGCTATTTTTCTGTCTACCAGCACTCGTGTTTATATGTACTGGAGGAGTAAAATGATCCTGAATGAAATGGTCTGTGGAAATATAAAAAACATAAACCATCCATCATCCAGAAGAAAAATGGAATACACTGATCTACTACTGATGTCTTCTTTCAGCTTTGATCTAAAGATGTATTTTATTAAAACTATAATTTAAATGTACTATGACAAATATGCAGTAAAAACGAGCTCTTTTCTAAGCTAGAGTAGGTTTTTGTCTTAAATTACAATTATTGTGATATATACTTTACTTTTTGTTTTAACAACTCCAATTGTGTGCTGCTTTTTTCCAGCATTTTGTTTCCAGTTCGGCAAAAGGGACAGACTATATAGTTCTAGAAACACATATACACCTATAGCTAATTCCTAAAACCTGGATACAAGTTATGCTCTATTTCTCTGAAAATTCAAACAAATAACACCTCCCATTCTTTAAGTATTACCTAAATTAGTTTTAACCTGCATAATATCCTTAGAAAAACAGCACTTAACTGGCAAAAAAGGGAGGAAACATATTGATATGTCAAATGCATTTTGTTGTTCCTAATGGATCAATGAGGAGAAAAAGAACTGCAGATTTCATGAAAATAATAAGCATTATCTTAATATAATGTGAATAGGAGATCTCTCAATTCTGTGCTTGAACTCCTGCCTGATATTGGAGACATAAAAACTCTCTCATGATTCCATTAGGAATTACATCTTTTTTTTCTCAAAACTTAAAAACTTAATTTTTCTGAAAAGGGAGAAATCAGAAATATTCAGACAACATCTTAAAGAAAATATCCCACTTCTGCTTACATCTGTATCCACTGCCTCCTGTTTCATCTTGTTTAAAACAACTATTGGTCTAAAGAATATATGCCTCTTTCTACATTGATGGGTGCAATTTTTATACAAACTGTTTTCCAGGACACAACCCACACTTAGAGCATATGAAACTCTTTGTCTCCTGCAACAACTTATAAAATAAGGTAAAAGATTGTTAATTAAGGGCTTGCTTGCTTTGTTATCCTAAAATTATTCCTTGAGAATCTTTGAATTCAAGATGTACAAGACCTTCAGCATTACAATACAGTTGCTTTTGCTCTGCACTCACCTTTCCAGGTATCCACCGCGAAGTCCTTCATCATGCACAAAAACGCAAAAGAAACATTTTATTATAATTAATGAAAGCGACATTGAAATTCTAAGTCTAGCTGTCTTGGGATTCTAATTAACTTAACATTGATTTCTCACCTCAGACTACAGTGAATTTTTAAAAAACTCTCTCTCAGCTGAAATATTTCACAGATGGAAGCTCATGTTTCAGTTTTAATGATTACTTTGAATAAACAATTTGTTGATGCTTTTTCAAATGAAAGCCTAAAAATAGTCTACATTCAATTTTAGACTCCATTGATTAATACAGTGTTACTTTCATAAGTACACCCCAAGTGGTAGCTGAACTTAAAATTATTTGAAGAAGACACTCCTGTAGAGAAAAAAAGTGTTTGAAATACAAATCAGAGCAGAAAGAGTGCTCCAAAAATAGATAATTCTTTTAAAAAGGTCATAGAATATCTTCATTGTGCTAAAATTCATTGCATTTCATTCTAAATTTGCAGCTGAAACAAATTTATTTGCAATAACAGAAGTATCCTATTTCTTATTCATCCTCAAAAATAAAGGATTTGAAAGAATAGAGATTTTATAACTTCAGGGATGCCTTCCAATATCTCAGTGCATTTTGTTTGGTATTAAGAAATATCCATAGAAAGAAATTTTAGACTTCAGTTAAAAAGAAACAGATCTACTGGCATATCTTTATAAATCATCAGGTCTAAGTTTTCGAAGAAAATTATAGATAAAACTTGCAAGTAAATAACTCCTATGACATCATAATCTTCTGCCAATATGAATTGCAAAGGATCAGTTTGCATGAAAAATAATTCCCATTTAATAAGTCTTAATAGACTGATATTTGCATGTATCATAAGAGTTGAAACTTTGTTAAGAGACATATGTGACCTTAAACAAATTCTTTTTTTTTTTAACAAAATATTTTTTGTTTTAACAACTCCAATTGTGTGCTGCTTTTTTCAGCATTTTGTTTCCAGTTCGGCAAAAGGGACAGACTATATAGTTCTAGAAACACATACACACCTATAGCTAATTCCTAAAACCTGGATACAAGTTATGCTTTATTTCTCCCAGAAATTCAATCTTAAGGCAGGAAAAAAGGTACATCCCAGCATAGAAATTATGGCCCAGCTGAAATCAAATGTAAAATGTAAATGCATGTAAATGCACACTTATTGCTATTTTTTATGTATTATTTAGTGATTTTTTCCAATGGTATGTGTTTCATATTTTTGCTACCTACACATTAGGCAAAGAGATGTAAATAATTTTGAAAAGAAGAGGAAGAACAGTGTAAAATGCAGCTTTTTATAGGTACTCCATTTCAGTGTGTTTCAACATCATCCTAAAATGAAAAATTTTTCCACACAACTAACAAGGTGGTTTGTGTGCTATTTCAGGGCAAAAGATATGTGCCCATTCAAATAAGCATGTTTTTTGCAGGTAAATATGTTCCATATCTGTATTTATCATTGCATTTCAGATGGGAACTGAACAACTGGAGAGAAAAATGTAATGAAACTGCTGCTGTAAATTATTCCTTTTAGCATGTATTCAGTTGCTAAATACACATTTCTTCAAAATATTTGAATTCAGATGTCTTTACTGTTCCCTTTAGCATATGGCGTCAAGGAACCTAAGTTTAGAAACTGTTGAAAGCCAGAGTTAGGTCACTACATAATCAGCTAGCAGATTTCTTCATTGCAGTCATCTACAAACTGGGTTCCATATTGTGATGTTGTGAATTTTTATGCCCTTTAAATTAAATATTGTTACTTTTATGTCCTTTCTAAAAAAGAAATATGAGGATGAAATTCTATGTTGTGTCATTAATCACAATCATTTTAGTTTCATTTAGTATCTACAATGATGCCTGATAATTGTTAATCAAATTGCCATGCTTGAAGGTCATAAGCATTTTATTAATACAGAGTTTATAGTATAACATTTTGAAATCTTTGTTTTATGAATTCACTTTTTAAGCACAATTTGTATTCTACTAATGGAATTCAATTCTCAAGTCTCATGGCTTCAAACACATACTTAACAAGTAGGACTCAATGTCATCTTATTGTGTTATAATGTGTTAGATACAAACTGGCCTAAGGGAAAGACATCCGTGCTTTTAATCTTAACTTTGTTTGTAATAGTTATTTAAAGACAATGTCAGTGTTCACAAAGTGCATGTTTCCATAAAGAAGAAAACATTGTTTCAAAAGCCTGCAAAATCCTATTAGCTTATTTGATTTCTAATAATTTTCTTACACTACTTAAACATAATTACATAACATTTATAACATTAATATACTAAGACCTACAACTGAAAGAGAGAATGAAGCCACAGAAATGGTGCCTTGTATATAGTACAGCTCTTGTCACAGTCAACCGGACCAAGGGAAACAGCCAGGTTTTCATTTCAGACATTTAAGTATACACAGGCAAAAGCTGAAGTACCAACTCGAACTGAACTGAACAAAAAGATGATTTTTGAATATAAAGAAATTGGACTGGTAGACACTTTGTCCTTTAGAACCAGATTCCTACCTGTTCAATTAAATTCCACTGATAGATCTTATGTGTCCCCTGTGTGCTAGGTAATGGTAGGTGCTGAGGATACTAAGATGAGTGAGACATAACCCCCATGCTCAAGAGCTCACAGTGAAATAAACAGTAACACGATATGTCATCTTCCAGCAAGGGTCCAATCTCCATCTCTAGATGATGCTAACCATCTACTCTGCACTCAATCTGTGCCTTGTATGTACTTTTTTATTGTCACCCTTATCACAAAGGTGTGATTTCTTTGTTAACTTCCCCATCTCCCTTTCTAGACTGTGAGCTCCTTGAGGGTAGGGTTTGTATCTAATTTATCTCTGCCCACAGTGCCTACTGTGATGGTTGGCACAAGGAAGGAGCTCAATAAAGCACTGTTGGAAAGAGCCAGGTTATAATGTGGTAAGTGCCAAATGCAAACTCCAAAGTGCTCTGGGATCAAAGCTGGGGAGGGATTAATTTAATGAGATAGATTATGAAACGCTTCAAAAAGAAGTGACACATAGCTGTGGATTGAAATTTAAGACAGATTTGCTCAAGTGAAGTATAGGCAGGGCAGTCTGGCAGAAAAAATAACGAGAGCAGTGGAGAGGTGTGAACAATGCTTTTATGCTGGGACAAGCATGACAAATGGATAGAGCAAGGGGTTCATAAAGTAAAATGTCCTACTGTGAATCAAAATGGTGCATATGTTTGGTCTTTCATGGATTTTGGTCTATTTAGCTTTATTTGTACCCCACAACCTCATTACTGGCACACGGTGTCATTCACTCTGCTTCCTTCCACCCGCTTCCCTCATCTGCTCTCGTGGTGTTGACCTCTTCTCTTTGCTCAGCTGGAATCATAGCACTGAGCAGTGTTCCCGCAACCATCCTTAAAATGATCTATATCGTGATCTAGTTCAACTAACCATACTTCAGCTGGAGTTCAGAATTCCACCAATGACTGGTTGGGAAAAGATAGCTTCACCTGGTTGACTCCTCTGTTCTGACTCAGCTCAAATTCTAGTTTCTTACATTTCACCTGCATTCAGCACTACCCCATTCGTGTCATGTTAGCCTGCTCAGCCATGGGGCTCGACATTGCCTTGCTAATTAGCAAGATAATGCACAAATGGGGCTTTATGAAAGATAGCATGAAAATATAAAGCCTGTATTTGTTCAGTGGACACCCTAGATGGAGTACTTCACAGCTAAACAGCGATGCAAGTGAAGTCAGCATACATAGTTGACAAAGACTCCTATTTTTAAAAAAAAAATACAATAAAAAAGAAAAAGGAGGAGGCCTAGCTGCATCTTGAATTTGTCAACTCAACACTACCATTATATTGAACAATCGAGTTTTTTCTCACATAACAAAGAATGTATTTTATTTCTCTTAATCTAAACATTAGACTTGTAGACATACTGTTTATTTATACAGTATCTAGGCAAAAGTTCTCAGAAATGTGTTCAAGTCATCACAGTTTGGGTAATTTTGAAGTCTCAACTCCAATGTCTCTTTTGTGTATCTAACTGAAAGCATTTACACCTCAAGTAAATACATTTTTAAAATTCATTGCCATTTGTGTAGCCCAGTTTTGATTATTTTATTGATAACTAATTCCAGAGATACTTAACTATTTTAGACAAAGTTATGTGTCTAAAATCAAACAGCTTTTCCACTTTAGGATTTTTTTTCTATTACACCTTAATTTTTAGGAGATTTGTATCCTTGAATTTCAAAAAAAAAATGATAGTTTCATTAGTCCTCAAATAGTTTTGTTTCTTCATACAATGTTTTAAATTGTTGATAAATGTCACAAATTAATATAGGTCTCTGTATACCATTCAATAAATTCTACTTGATTATTGATACTGAGTAAAAATGATACATCTCTTTTTCAAATTTGCAATGTTAGCATCTACCAGTTTCAGAAACATTGCTCATTTTCTTTTTCCCACTACTTTTGACCTTAATCCTATGTTTGTTGAAATTAATTAGAATTTATTTGGTTCAGGAAGCAGGTTACATTATTACCGAGGGAATATTATATAGCATCAGAAATAAAATCTGGTACACATATTAAAGAGCATATTGAAATCTTTCAATTGTGAAATATATTCACTTGTAAAAGTTTGAGTAAGTACTCATCCTAAAATGATTATATATTAACCAAAACAACAGTCTAGTCTCCGGAAACATGCCATTAATTTCTTAAACTCTCTGGAATTTAAAAAACAACAAAATGCCTAGATTGCAAAATCTCTATAATCATTCAAAAAACAGTATATCCTGTTACCCCCAGTGGGGATTGGAATATAATTTGTAATTGTTTCCATACTTGTCTCTTTCTAAGCAACTCTTTGTCATTAGAAAGTGTTTATTAAAATGATGTCATATCGGGTAGCTTTATATTCATTATTGGGAAGTAATATTTTTGAACTTGTTTAAAGGAATTATTTATAAAACATTTTTATAAAACCTGGTATCAGTGCATATTAAACCTAAGAGCAGAAACTCTTTATATTACATTGTATTATAATTTATTATGATGATATTAAATAAAATCAATATAAGCAGAAGTATAGAAACATTAATAAGGCCTTCCTGGCAATAGTAGAAATTATATTTTTATATCACTTTATAATGTTCAAGGTATTTCCATTATCTCATTTAATCCATGAGATGGAAATTTTGTTATACCAACTTTGTAGGAGAGAAAGATAGTAAGTGGCTTGTCTTAGATCTAACATTTAACAATTTTAAGCCTAAGATGAAAGCTCATTTGATCCAATTAAAGCAGAACATTTTTATCACAACTTTGCCTCATAAGGTGAAAATAAGTAATCTATTCCACTTTTAATAAATTACCACTGTAATAAGCATGGGTTTAGGTTAGATCCTCTAAAAACAATGTACAAAGAAACAGTTTATTGACTTTGGTTCTTAGTAACATAAGATATTAATTAATATGGAAGATGAACGAACCAATGAAAAGATGGTCAGGTGTTCATTTACAAAAAACTCAAATTGATATTTATAATTCATTCTAACAAAAAAAGTCAAAGAAAAAATACTGGTTTCTTCATCAATTTTTAAATGAATCAATAAAGAATACTTTAATTGATACACAATAACCTTTCTTTGTATACTCGATAATTTGACCAAAATAAGTAAACATTTTTGGAATCATATATGCATTTATAAAGTCTGCTTTTATAAGTGAAAACAATTTTGTTGGAAAATACCTTATTTTTTTAATAACAATTGGAAATGAATACTCTTGTAAGAAACAATATTGTTACACAATAATTTAACATATCAGGGATAACATTCCACTAGCAAACTTCAAAAAGTGTTAGTATTTTACTAAAAATATATAGCTATATCAACTTTATAACTATTTTTCATTAAATTGCTGCTTTCCAGTACATAACAATATCAATACCTATGTCAGTAACTGCCAGAAGTCCTATATAGGTTCTCATTCTTAAACAGTAGTAATTGTAATCAACCCATATATATGTATCTCACTTAAATATATACAATTTTAGAAATTATGTTTTCACTTGGTGTAGCTATCTACATGATTTAATTTAAAAACAAGTATAACAAAAATTCAGAAATTCTAAATTTTATGGATGATATTTGTTGAAATTCTAAATCCTTCATTCTGCTTGATTGTAAAGTTCCCCAAGTCCCACCCATCAGGTGAACAGTCGTTGGACCACGGATAAGAGAGGTGAAAGAGAATTTATTCACAGGGTGGTTGTAATACCTAATGTTGATATAGAACATTGTTCACACTGAAATATATTCACTTTTCTCCATCTCTGTACTCATAATGATGAGAAAAAGATGGTTTCCCTTGTTTCAAAGAAAAAATTCTTTTGACTACATCTACCCGAGATAACCATTTATCCCTCCACGTTTTGTCTCAGTTCGTTGTACCTGTAATTCCTCCCTCTTCCCATTCTAAAGTAGTAAAGGTAAATAACAATAATTCCCCTCAGTCATACTATTCATTTGAGAACTTTTCTACTTGTCTTT